ACAGAACTCAAACTCACAAAGTGGATTTACTGAGGATTGTAGCTCAGATCCCAGCTTTATTGTTTGAAAATCTGCTTGCGTGGCTTTTTACTTACATCCATCTGAGAAGAGAGCCTATATTTTAACTCTTAACTATATTTAATGCTGCACTTGTTTTTAATGCAACAAGACGTATACCTGTCACAGCATGTACTTAGCTCCATACCGAATGTACTCTCACAGCACAGAAGAGATGCTCTTCAGATACTTCCAACTGTGTGACTTGTGTTCTGCATAGCACAGATGGCAGAGAAGTTAGGAACTCAGTCACAGCCATGTGCATTCTTTAGGACAGGCATTTTAATTCCTTCCCAAAGCTCAAACTTCAAGTTTTTAAATGCTTGTCATAGAAAAGATCAACTGTTAGTCATTCTCTGTGTCAGGCACTTACAAAATGCATGTCAAGGTTTGTTGTTGCTTAAATGGTTTATCTGACCCTTATATAGTGCTGATGGTGCCAATATGCATTTTAGTTCTCAAGGTCACCACAAAATTGTCCAATGTGAAAGTGGGAAAGCAGTTTAATAGATATTCTGTTCATAAACATGGTAAGCTTAGGTGCAAGTCTCAAAACTTGCAAGAATGCATGTTTCCATTAACAGAAGCAAGCACATAGCTGAAGGCAGAAGACACTCCTCTCAACCTTCACCTTTCATAGCAAGCAAAATACTGGCAAAATACAGTAAAGTTTCTAAAAATAATATTATATATATATATATAAAGAAACAAGATAACTTACATTTAAATCTTCATAAAAGTTGTGGGGCTGAGGATGTTTCTTTGAAGAAAGCAGCAGAACTACCTTTGTAACATATACAAGCTATTCTGAGCTTCTCACAACACAAGTTGCTAAATCTTTTGCAATAAAAATGTCCCAAAAGGCATGTACAGTGTATGTTGTCTCACACATCTGGTTAAAAAACAAACATCAAATATGATCCATTTAATTTTAGTTTCTGAAAAGCAGTTGAGGCTCTTACTAGGTTTTGGATTGTGCTTTTGTGTGTTTAACTAGGAAGGGGAAAAAAAATGAAAGAAAAAAAAGCCACCTGCATGTGAGCTAGTAAGGGCAGGACTGCCGAGTTACCTACCAGAGGAATCAGTCCCTGAAGCAAAGACTACTGGCCAAAAGGCACGAAACTTTTCTGTACCTTCCCTGGGGCTGCAAGTTCATACGAGTTTTGAACCAGACTTCTTTTGGAAGCTGAAAAAAAGCAGGTGAATCAGTCAATACAGACCATCTAGAGTCTCCTTGATGTGGGTCTGAATAAAAAGAGGACTTGGATGCCGGGGTGCTTGAGCCCAGGCCATTGAGTTTGCGGTGCCTTGGCAATGCAGGTAGAGCTGCTGAAGTTTATGACTGCGGAGCACCCAGAGCGGGACATGGGAGGCAGGGGGGCAGCCAGCCGGGCCCTGCCTTGGCTGGGCGCTGCACTAGGAGCATCTTCCCTCTTCACACACAGATCCAGCACTAACGGTTTGCATTCTGGGTGAATAACCAAAGCTCAGTCCAAAGCTGAACCCCCTCCTCACACAGAGGTAACCCCAAGCCTAGGTGAATGTCAGTGTCTATCATTGCTGCTTTTCCCTGCCCATCAGCAACAGCTCCATGCTGCAAAAAGGACCAGAGCCAGTTCCGCTTCCTCTTCCATTCTCATCTCAGTTTGTGGAAGTCTTAGATAACTGGAAACATTGCAAGTGTACATCTATATCGCTGCATCTCAAATTCCCCATACGAGTCTTTTTTTTCTTTGTTAAACATAGCAAGTCAATCCTGTGGGGCACAACAGGTTTAGAAATATATCAGCTACATTCTTCACATTCAACTGTCAGTCATAATGAGTAGCACGAGAAAAAGATATTTTCCTTTTTACTAGGTTAGCCCCATCAGTCTGAGTTGGCAGTTTAACCAACTCCAACAATCCCTCATGGAAATGGATTATTTTTAAGCCCACACTCAAACACTAGTTAAAAGTTTCACCATATGGCCAAAGAGAACAGGCTCACTTTCACCCACAAAGGCATATGTCCAGCCAGTTCATAGGCAAATCCCTAAGGATGCAGGGAAGGTGTCCCTGTGTGAACAGGTTATTCCTACACAGCTCAATAAGAGCTTTTTCGCCTTATTTCAAGAAGTTTTGTACTGATCCTTTTCAGAAGCAGAACACTAGCGTGAAGGTTATACCAGTTACACGAAAAAATTGTTATTTTGTAAGGTGACTCCCCTTTTCCCATGAAGAAAGATGAGCAGAGCTAAGCCACAGAATCCCAGGATGGTTGAGGTTGGAAGGGACCTCTAGAGATCATCTAGTCCAACCCTCCTGCTCCAGCAGGGACACCTAGAGCATGGGGCACAGGGCAGCATCCATGCAGGTTTAGAAGATCTCCAGAGGAGACTCCACAACCTCTCTGGGCAGCCTGTTCCAAGGCTCTGTCACCCCCACAGTAAAGGTGTTCTTCCTCATATGGAGACGAAACTTCCTGTGTTTTAATTTATACCCATTAGCCCTTGGCCACTGGCCACCACTGAGAAGAGTTTGGCCCCATCCTCTTTACATTCTCCCCTGGGGTATTTGTACATATTGATCAGCTCCCCTCAATCCTCTCCAGGCTAAGCAGGCCCAGATCACTTAGTCTTTCCTCGCACGGCAGATGCTCCAGTGCCTTCATCATCTCCTTTGCCCCGAAGGATTATTTTACCTACCACGGAGAGGAGACCAGAACTTTACTTACCCCACCTACAAGCTTAGAAAAAACCCCAGGCCGGGCTGGCTAACAACTCGTTCGGTTCTGCGCTGCGTAGGTTCCCATCCCACCCCCACCAGGGCTGCTCCGAGCTCCTCCCTGCAGCAGCGGCACTGCCCTCTGCGGCGATGCTTGGTGCGCTCTCACTG